TTTTTTTTTTTAATTTTTTTTTAAAAAAAAAAAAAAAAAAAAAAAAAAAAAAAGTTTGGGATAGTGAGCTTCCTAGAGGGACAGCCTAACACGTTACTGTTTCTTAACTTTGAGACCCAGAAATGAATTCTTTTCTTTCCTTTACTCCTGCTCTTGAAAATATAACAAAAAAATGATGTTTTGTGTTGTGTTATTTTTGGTTTGTTTATTGGGGGGGCTTTTTTTAATTGTCAGGATTATGATCTTGCTGTTTAATTCCTAACGTATGTATATGAGGTGATGTGAAAAGAGGACGTCGGTAGAGAGGCTGTTTCTGGCTGCTTCTGTTTTGTCCCAGAATTGGGTGACGTCACAGAGATCGGCCCTGTGGATGTCACGCCGCTCACCTATGTCTGGAGGGGGCCCGCCTGCAGGCTCTGAGGGAAACAGTGTTGGGGGCTCCGGCTCTCCTTCGACTTTCACAGATTCAAGGCCTCAGCCCGGAACCTCCCCTCCTGCAGGGAAGGGTTTTGCCTGTTGACTGAGACTGTCACCACGAAAGGCGTTTCCTTTCGTCCTGAATAGCAGCATTCCAGGATGCCTCTTCGGGCCAGAGGGGACCTTGCTTGCCCGAGAGCCCGGGGCAGCGCTGGTGAAGGCGGGGGCCCTGATTCTGGGTGAAGAGTCGGTGCGACGTGGCCGGAGTCCCTGCTGTTACTCACGCTGGGCATTCCGGCAGCCGTGCAAAGCAGACCGTGAAACTGCTCGACTCGGAATGTTCCTGTTAGTTCCGGAGTAAAGAAGGCGGTGTGATCGGGAAGAAACTGAACGCCTCTCGTTTGACAATGACCGAGTGTTCCAGGAGCAGCCAGCGCCTAAGCGCCGGCCGGAGGGCTGGGCCTCGGCGCTCGCTGGGCGTCGCTGCCCAGACGGCCACCCTCGTGTTTTTAAGTCACAGCCAAACACTGACGAGCTTTTCACATCACCTGACGGTTTCAATCCCTAGCTCAAAGCTTTCTGGAATCTTATTTTTTGTAACCGTTTCTTTTTTCCTTTTGTTAAAATAAAACATTCACTGTTTCCGCCCTTCCCCCCTTAGTCCTTCCCTCCTTTCCCAGTTATTTTGAAGTGTTTTCCCTGGTGGTTGGTTTTATCTCCTGCTCCCCACCTGTTATTATTCAGAGTGTAACCCGCCCCGCTCTGCTGTTTTGGTTTGAAAGTTAAGCTTCCTGCTTCTGTGAGAGCACCGGCTTCGTCCCTTTGATTCTGACTGAAGTTTGTGTTCTCCGATGATACTAACACGGTGTAGATCTTACAGTCTCCTAATTTGTACTGGTAATGCATATTCCAAATAAATAGTTTCTTTTGTTGCAAAAAAATATACTTGTATGTTGTGTAAATTTTCTCGTTTATATTCTGGCGCCCATATTCCCACAAACAAGGGCCGGCTTCCTTCGGATTAGGTCCGAACTGTCCCCCGAATCATTTGAAAGCCTACGCACTGCGGCAGTGGAGCCACTACCTCCCCCGGGAAGGAAGGGGTCTTTTTTTCATCTTCACCCGAAGGTGATACGTTTATTGGTTCGAGAGAGAGAAACATCGACCTGAGACTGCAACACCCATCGATGGGCTGCCTCCTGCACACCCCCTCCTGGGGTCGAGCCACAACCCAGGCACGTGTCCTGACCGGGAATGGAACTGGTGACGTTTTGGTGCATGAGCCACGCTGGCCAGGGCGGAAGGAAGGCTCTTGCGTGGGCAAATATTAGCTGCATGCAGGAGGGCAGAGCACCCCATCTTGTCCGCTCGTCGGTGACGGGCCGCCCCCCGCCAAGCACATGCTGAAGCCCAGGAGGTGCCCATAGCAGATTCTAAGTTCATGAGTCAGCTCTGCGAGTGATTCTGTTTCTTTCTCCATGTCTGTGATCTGGTCGTAGGAAAACTGTGGGACCCAAGAGATGTTTTCAGAGAAGGGACCCAGGCTAGAAGACCTCAGCTCTCGGAAGCAAGTGGGTGTCCGCACTCCGGCTCTCCTGCCTCCCCGTGTGGTGTCTGCACTCCCTGCGCCCCGACCTTCAGGGTCGGGTCTGTGAGAATGTGGTGCCTGTTGTGGCTGCAACACCAGATCAGTCCTCAGCTCCACGTTCCCACCCAGGCAGCCGGGTAGAACCTATCAAGCGGCCCCCGTTTCCCTGGGGCGTCGCCTACACTGTTTCCTCGTGTTCACCCCGTGCCCTCAGGAGCTCGGTCCGGGCCCCAGTGAGGCGGGTATGTCCTGAGTGTACCCACCTCTCACCCTCTCTCCCTGATCACCATTTGATTCTAATCAGTAGAAAACACAGCAAAGGCATGGAGAGTCAATGGGGCCAAATTATTGTTTTTATTTAAAGCCAGGCTGAGGGCTCCATGGCCTGAAAAGTATAAGGCTGTCTGTGAACGCTGGTTTGGAGAACATCACCAGGGCCAGAGCGGAGGTCTCGTGTCCCCTCTTCAAGTCGGAGCATTGGGACACACGGGGGTCAGGGTGCAGGCGGCTTCAGGCCGCTTCCTTCCTCAGCTGCCCGGCCGTCTGTGGACCTGACTCACCCACCTAGCTTATTACTTAGAGTGACACTAAACTGTTACAGCAAATAGACCAAAAGGTAGAGTGTGTGAAATGTAGAACGAATCTCTCTCATGTGGTAGCCTGAGAGAAATGCTGCGGGTCAGGGTGCCTCGTGTCCAGGCGGTGATTCAGGAAGCTGCTCCTGGTACACTGCGGTTCCCCTACCCAGGAATGTGTGGTCCTCCCCCGGGCCCCCAGAAGGGAACAGGCGTGAAGGCTCACCTCTCCTTGGGAGCCTTGACCGAGACCTCCCCTCTGCTCGTCCCTAAAGCTGGAGTGTGTGGGCAGGTGGGGGTGGTCCCCAGCTAGGCAGCCCCTTCCTGGCACTAACACCACATGGTAGCATGTCGAATGGTGGCCGTCTGTCACACTCAGTGACCAAAAGAATAAGCAGGGCGAAAGGCAAGCCCACGTAGCTGTTTGCCGCAGGGGACAAGCTCCCAACAAGGCCCATCCGGTCGCCATCCCAGGCTGGGCTTCGCCTCTGCAGTGTGGAAGGTCCAGAAAGGGTTGACCACAAGGGCCAGGACTGCCCCCCCAAGGAAAGAAAACAGCAGTGTTCCCCTCTGTGACGGTGGAAGAGAAACACCCTTCCCTCATCCCCAACATGCTCCAATGTGGGTGCTGGCTAAACTTGGGGCTCAGCACCCAGCCTGTGGTCATCAGGAGGGGAGAGCTGTAGTCCATGGCGACAGCCCGGTCCCCCCTTCGGGCAGTCACTCCCATGGCTTCGTGGCTGTCTAGTCACTTGGGAGAGGAGTTCTGAAGGTTTAAACTCACAAAATCTGAAGTGTTTCCCCACCATGGGTTCCCCTGCGCTGTCCTTACGGTCCTCCTGGCCACGCCCCTCACGCTGAAACAAGGAGACAAGCAGGAGGTGGCAATGTTCTGACCACCATGTGTCATCCAGGACACAGCCTCCCTTCCAGAAACGTCCGTGGGGAGGATGGCACAGAAAGTGGGTGCTTCTGAGACCACCCTGTGCGTGAGGCCGGGAGGGTGTTTCAACCTGGTGCTCGAACTGGCAGCCTGGGGTGGAGAGGAGGCCCCGCTCAGGACTCCGCCCTCCCAGATCCTCTAAGATGGTACAGATAGAGGGGCGGCCCGATCTCCAGCCCCTGGGCCACTGAGACGCAGCCTGTGGCGCCTGGTCCTGTGAAACCGCAAGGCCACCCTTGGCTGTGGGGGGTGGGGAAGGGGAGTCATGAAGACCACGTACTTTGGACAACTGTTGTACTTGTATCCCTCCTGGGACCCATGCAAAAGGCAGGTCACCTTGAGCCCCTGGATGCCCCTGGATAGTCAGTAGGGTCCATTCGTTAACCTCCAGGTTCCACTGCATCCAGCCAGAATTCTCTCTGCCCGGTGCCCAGCGGAGCACCCCGTGCCACTCGCAGGCTCATCGGCAGTGCCTCTGGGTGGCGCACAAGGCCCCAAGTGCCTGAGTACATTTGAATAAAGTCTCCTAGTGTTAAGTATCCAGAGAGAAACTGGAGTTCAGAACAAAATCCTCCTCTCCCTTCTGAGTTAGTCAAAGCGGCGTGAGTCCCCGGGGTCCCTTCCCAACCCCCCACCGAGCTTATTCCCAACCCGACAGCCTTGCTCTGATCCCAGAAGCAGAGGAGGGACCTCCCGCCTCAGCAGCAGGGCCATGCTTTCTGTCTGAATGGGGGGGCTGTGCTGACCCCTCCAAAGTCCAGTTAATCCAAACTTGCACCTTGCTAATGCCCCAGGTTTTCTTAGGAGTCACAGAATTTGGAAGCAGGAGCAAAGCCCAGGCTCCCAGAACAAAATGAAGTTCCCAGAACCCAGCTCACAGCACCACGCGGCCGTGGCTGATGAAGGGCCTAGCCGAGGTGTGCCGTCGGGAGGAAGGAAGAGCGAGAACAGAGGGAGAAGGGAACGCTCATGTCAGGCTCCACAGCACAGTGGCAGAACCCGCGGGACTGAGAAAAAGCCACCAGCCAGGGGAGTGTTGCTCCCGGCCTCCGAGCCCTGGGAGACACCAGTCTAACCCCAGATGTGTGTCCTGGCGCCACTGTGACTGTGACCATCTGCGCTGAGCTTCTCTGCCCCAGTGGAGTCGGCT